GTGAATATTTGTGCTTGTTGGATATTGAATTTGAAAAATTTTATTATTAACCAATTCACCTACTTTTTGGTTTAATTCAAGTATTTGTGCTGACACTCACATACAATCGTTATTCATTATCACCAATGAATCATCAAATTTAGAGAGAATTGTAAAGGTGGATGGGGAGAAAAGGGAAAGTCTTACCAACTTCATCTTTGAGATTTTCCAAAAATAAAGGGAAAAAAATAAAACTTAAAACTGAAGAAAGGAAGAGGGAATCCAAATCTAGATAGAATCAACAAAATTGGGGGAAAATAACTAGGTTACAAAATAAAAATTAAATAGCTTTTTTTTTTTTTTTGAAGGCAAAAAGAAATATAATTTGGTGATTTCATAGTTTAATGCCAATCAAATTACTCTTTTTTTTTTATCTGGAAATTTTGATTTTGAAAAAAAAAAGATAGATTATTTTGACAGAATTGCAAAATATGTTTTAAGATTATTGGTTAATAATATATTGATCTATTGAAAGAAAAAAAAATAGAAGAAAAAATAACTTTATATTTGTAACTAGTTTTTTAATCTATGCGATGCACATGTTTTTACTATATTTTTTATCATTTTTATTTTTTTTAATTCATTTTAATTTTTATATTATCTTAATAAAAATATATATATTCTAATTTTTTTTGTATTTGTAAAAAGTAAATTATCACATCTTGGTTCTAAAGTTTTTATTTTAAAAATGCATGTGTATAATCTGTTTGATTCACGATACAAAATGAAAAAAAAAAATCTAAAGTGTTTGATTTCTAAATTATGAATTATCTAAAGTGGTTAAGTAAATATTTAAAGTATAAAAATGTTTTTACATGAGAAAAATGAACAAGAAAATAAAAACATCTAAAGTGGTAAACAAAATAATTTGATTTATGAATTATCTTACGGTATTTTTTAAAATATTGAAAGTATACAACTATAAATCTAAACTAATTGTGATGATATAAAATACAATCAAGTTGAACATCTCTTGAGTCATTTACCTTAAAATAGAAGAAAAAAACTATAATATTTCAATTATTGGTACCTCACCACTTAACTCAAAACAATTATTCACAAATCAAAGCAAACTATAAGATGAGCATTTTTCCTCTAGAAATGATAGTACCTATTTTATCATAACTAAATTTTATGATCTCAAGAACTAATTCATCACAAAACAAACTATTTCTAAAATATATGAAAAAAATGTGAAAAGCAAAAAAATAATATTTCTTGATAATAGGTTAAAATCAAGGTAAAAATCACCAAGAATCCAAAAAATACAATTTTAAGAAAAAATATATTCTAATAAATTATATTTTAATATAAATTTCTTAGAAAACAAAAGAATTTTAAGAAACATCTATAAACATAACATCACTTTGTGATAATTAATCAAAACTCTTGAACAAAATATGAAAAAAAAATTTAGTAAATCAATGTTAAAAGAAAAATGAATTGAAATAAAGATTAATTTTTTATAGGAATAAAATTATAAAAGTAATAATATACCTTTCAAAGAAAAGTTATAAATTGAAAAAATAATGATGGTGTAACACATACTATTTATAAGTTTATTGCATGACAATTACAATGTACAGAGAATTTTTAAATTGATAAATAGATTTTGAATTTAAAAATATAATAAGTAATATTTATCTTTTTAAATTTTAAAATTTTAAAAAAATAAATGAATATTAAAAAAAGTTATGAAGGTAAAAATACCAAATTTTAAGATTTTAAAATTTAAAAAAGAGATATATCTACATAACTAATAAAAGTTGAATTAAATAATAAATCTAAATTAAATAAGATTAATTTTTAAAATTTCAAAATTTTATTGTAATTTACTTTTTGTTTTAAACAAATGATTTTATCTATTTAATTATTTTAAAATTAAATTAACTGACTAACCATTAAATTTAAAATCAAGACTTACTGTAAAAAAATATAGTTAAAACTGAAACAACACTTTTAGCAATAAATAATAGAGTTAATTACAGAAAACACGATAAAATTTTATTATATATATATGAATTGGTCTTCCATTTAAAATTTGAAAATTTTAGATAACTAAATAATTTTTCAAATATAATTTTTTGATAAATTATCTAAAATTAAAAAATATCTTATGTGTCATTATAAAGAGAAATTTAAGGATCTTATATGTTGAAAAGAGAAATTATCTATATAAATGTTTACATCAATAAATTTTATCTGATAATCATATATCTTGTAATATAATAATATATATGATATATGATATATGATTGGAGCAATGCTTTGCAAATCCAATTTCAAATATTTGCATTTTCACATATGTATTTCTTACTTGCAGATTTAAAGATGCATGGTGATGGGTTAGATTGTTTAGTAATTAATCTTGTACCAAGATTTTGCTTTTGTAAAAATTAGAACTATTATTTTTATTACATAAATAATTTATGTGCTATAAAATATGTAGTTATTAATATTTTACTTTAGAAAAATGGTATGACAATAAATTAGCATAAAATATCTTAATTAAAAAAAATTAAATGTACTCTATTTTAGAAATTAAGAATACAAACCTTAAAGAAAAAAACTCTACGTTGGTCAACCAGAATACCGGTTGGAGCGCATTAGAAGCGCATACCAAATCAGCTCTATAGGAAAATATGGTGAGTTTAAACTTTGAAGGGCAGCTAGAGCCCTAGACACCCACATGCACCCAAATCCAACTCAGCATTTCGTACGGCTACTTCGGTCACCATTCAAGGCTCAAGGCTCTACATCCACCGTCCAATCCTCACCCTTATCAGAGCCAAGATGCTTGGCGAGGTACACTAGATCGAGGACGCAATATTTAACTTGTAGAAATTAATGGGTTAGTATCCAGTGCAGCAGCAGCTATTCTACAACTGCGAGGATTGCCTAATTTTTTTTAATCTAATGGACTTTTTATTCGAAGAAAAGTAATTTTCTTTTTTAAAATTTGGTTTTTTTTATTTGATTCATACAAATGTGATTATTGGGATATTTTAAAATTTTTAACAATGTTAAGAAATAAAAAAGTAAAAAAATTCTCATTTTATGAGATTTTTAAAATTTGAAAGAAAAGTGAAAATTTGTTTTCTATTTACTCTTATTTAATTGTATTTTAAGATTATATAAAAAACCTTATTTACTTTTAAAAATATGGGAATTTTCTATAAAATATTATGAAAATAATTTTTTTCTTAATATATTTTAAATAAAAATCACATTTTTATCATAATGCTATTGAAATTCTCACAAAAATTATGATTAAAAATACGATCTTTGTTGAAATGTAAAAAAAAAAAAAAAAAATTATTTTTCATAATTTAACAAAAATATATTTTTAAAATAAAAAATGACTTTTGTTAAAAGTATGAAAAAATATTTTTTAAAATTTAACAGAAATGATATTTTTAAGATAAAAAGTGTAATCTTTGATGAAAAAAATGATATTTTTAAAATAAAAAATGACTTTTGTTAAAAATATGAAAAAATATTTTTTAAAATTTAACAAAAATGATATTTTTAAGATAAAAAGTGTAATCTTTGATGAAAAAAAATATGATATTTTAAAAATAAAAACTCAATTTTTATTATAAACATGAAGAAAATATTTTTTAAAATTCAGTAAAGATGATATTTCTAAAATTAAAAAAACATGAAAAATATGTATTTTTCATATTTCAATAAAAAGACATTTTTAAAATGAAGATATAATTTTTATTGAAAAGATGATGTTTCTAAAATAAAAATACAATTTTTGTTAAAAACATAAAAAAATATATTTTTTCAAAATGTAATAAAAATGATGTTTCTGTGATGAAAACATAATTTTTGTTGAAATGATGATTTTTTAAAAATAAAAAATACAATCCTTATTGAAAATAAAAAAAATAAAATATAAAAAATATTTATTTAATACTATTGCATATAAATTCTAAAATATATCTACTTACTATTATTATACATAAATTTTATTTCCACGGTTCTGCCTTTATATGTGTTCTTTGCATAGAAAACAATTAATGTTAGAATAATAATTAAAATTATTAAATTAAATTTATTTAAAATATAAAAAATTAAATTTTTAAGATTAATTTAATTTTAACAAAAATATATTATTTATATGTCACGTATTATTTATATATTAATATTATAAATATCATATATTATTCATAATTATAAAAAATAATATAATAAAAACTTCATTACATAATATTACATTTATATAAATTAAATATAAAAATTTTACATTGCCTAACTCTACAAAATCTAAAAATAGTACATTCACCTTCAATATTATTGTTTTCCTAAATCACTTTCTCTTGAAAATCTAAAATTTACTGCACCATACGCCCTAAAGAGTTATTGGCTGAGTACACACCTGGTGGGTCCCTTTTATCAACCTTCCTAGTTGTCTCTTATCGTTCGCAAAAATCAATTCCACTCGCACTCTAGAGAGTCAACTTGCACTTCTCAATTCCTGATATATTCCTTTATCTGTTTTTATATTTTAATAATAATGTTTATATTTTATACTCTTTCCAAGTCACATAAAGGGAAAATTAAGTCATTTTTTAAATTTTTTAATTTATTTAAAAATTTTTCATGCTATTATTTATATAATTAAAAAATATTATGCAAATAAATTTTTTGAATTTATAAATTTTAAATTTCATTTTTAATAATATATAAATTAATTCAAAAATTAATTGACAAGCCATTCTTTTTTTAAAAAAAAATTTTGTTTTCTTCTGCCTCATTTTATTCTAAAGCTAGAATAAATGAAATAAAAAACTTTTTTGCATTAAATTTTGTCAAAGGAACGGTTGGCCAATAAATTTGAATTACTAACTATAATTTAATAATAATAGTTTAAAATTATAATTTACCTATCAAATTATGTATAATTTAAAATGCAGAAATCATGCCGGAGAACTTTGATATTTTATCCCACACATGCCCCCATGGCGTTACCTTACAAATTGAAAATCCGGAACATCCTAAATTCTTCACGGTTCTCGCTAATCCGCCCGTGCCTTCACAGTCATCATAAGCATGTGAAGATTCAAAATTCCCTGATTGAATATCAACCTCAGAAGATAACACATAGTAATACAATTTTGAAGAAAAAAAAAAAGGAAAAGAAAATGAAAATTGGATAAACTAAGAAGCTAGAAAAACAAAAAAAAAAAAAGAAAAATTATTACACATCATCATCAAATAATGTCCCAAAACAAAAGAGCGAACAGCCAATCCCACCACCACACCCAAAACAAGAGCAGGATATCTTCGGAAACTTGCAAACCCAAGCCAAGAGAGAGTCTACACAGAAAAATAAACACGATAAACGAAAGTAGTAAAAAGAAAACATGAGAAACCCTGCAACAGCAAATACAACAACGACAACAACGACAAGAAACAACAATGGAAGCAAGACTCCGTGCTGCAGCAAGGTAGGGCTGAAGAGGGGGCCATGGATGCCAGAAGAGGATGAGTTATTGGCCAGTTACATCAACAAAGAAGGTGAAGGACGGTGGCGGACTCTGCCGAAGAGGGCAGGGCTTCTTCGTTGCGGCAAAAGCTGTCGTCTCCGCTGGATGAACTACCTCCGTCCCACCGTGAAACGAGGGCAGATCGCCGCTGACGAGGAAGATCTCATTCTTCGCCTTCATCGCCTTCTTGGCAATCGGTAGTTCAACATTTCTCTGCAAAATTTACTCTTTGTTTATAAATTTCATTTCTAGGGTTTGGTTTAGTATTCTGGGTATGTATATCACTTCAGCTAGGCAACTTTTTTCCCTTTTCCTTTCGAATATTAGGTAGGGCAGGTTTCCAAGCCTCATCGATGGGTTGTAGCTTTAGGGTTTCAGTGTTTTAAGCTTTCAAGTAGATTTTGTGCTATTCCATATCATATGTACTTAACATTTATCTAAAAATTTCTCTTCCCAATGGTTTCCATTTCTTTCTGCGTTCTCTGCCTACAAATTTCTCGAAACCTATATATATATTTACTCTCTTAATCTTTATATTTTATATTTTATATTTCATATTTCATAATTTGATCTCAATCGCATGTAATACATATTGCAACAACAGCGTTAATTACTTTGATTTTAGATGGAGTACTCTTAATCAATTTAATGGATTTGTTCCGGGTAGGTGGTCACTTATAGCTGGAAGAATCCCAGGGCGTACAGATAATGAGATAAAGAACTACTGGAACACTCACCTGAGTAAGAAGTTGATCAGCCAAGGAATAGATCCAAGAACCCATAAGCCTTTAAAACCTCAACAGTCACCAAGCGATCTCAAAGCTTCTTCTTCCTCCAGGGCAAATCGTAGGCCTGCTGCAATCCCTAAGCCAAATAATCCTGCTTCTTCCAACTTGGAAGAGACTAGTAGCGATCAAATCATGGCTGACAAAGAAAATGCGAATTTCCAGAATCACTATGATCAAACTGATGACATAGCAATAGGCCATGGATTCACCAGTCTGATTAATTGCGATGGTTCTGGAATGGAAATGAGAAGCAGTAATCAAAACCATGGGATAAGCAATGAGGAAGATGAGAACATTAATTACTGCACTGATGATGTCTTCTCTTCTTTTCTGAATTCATTGATAAATGAAGATGCTTTCACCAACCAGAATCAAATGCAACAGCACCAGCAGATCAATGGAATTTCACAAGCCGATGCAGTGGTTTCAATTACGGCAACAACTTTTAGCCTCGGCCAAGGTTGGGAATCTCCCATCATGTCTACAAATTTCAACCAAAATGACACCAAGAGGGTTAATGACCATCTCCACTAGCTCTCCCGAAGGGTCAGCTTGCATTATGAAATATTGTTTCCTAGGGCTTGGTTATTATTTTACGTATGCTAATTGTCTATTCTTGTTCCATTTAATTCGTCATTGTGTTTTTAGAAACATATATCTATCATTGTAAACAAAGATATAAGTGGAAAATATATATGTACTTGTGTCATTCTGTATGGTTTTCGTTGCGTAATGGAAATATTTAAGGTTATTTGTTAAAATTCTTTTCAATTGTTAACCTCGGCTTATTTGTTAAGTATTCTTTTATTTCTCAGGTTCTGCTTCCATCACTTATCTGTAGCCTTGATCGCTCTTATCCTATGGCAAGATTTGCAAAAAGAGAATACATTAGGCATATTGTTAATTAGTAATTCTAATAGAAAAATAAATGAATTTGAAACTTAGCCCAAATGGTTTTCTTACTTTTTTGCGAGACGGATTTTGACAAAATTGAAGATCAATTTCTAACACTTGCAAAATTCTCCTTTCTTAATTTGCTTTATGCCTTGATTATTATTATTATTATTATTATTATTATTATTATTATTATTAGTATTATTATAAAAGAAGTGCAAATAAGCCTAATGTGGTTGGTTTTACTGAACCTAATAGCATTCACTAGGTTTGATTCACAACGTGTCATTATTGTTATTTGAGGGGATTGAGTTTTGCTTAGTTTATGCCTTTATGGAAGAGTTTTTCAAAAATTAAAAATAAAGTATTTGGCTATCAAATTTTTAAAATTTTTTAGTTTATACAGAGCCTTTTTTGGCTTTTAGGTTGCTAAATGAAGTTATAAATCACAGTTTCTAAATAAATTACTAATGTATGGTAAAAATATTTAATGTAATTTTTTATATTTTAACTTTTCCCATTAATAATTCATTAAATTATGTATAAGGAGAATTATATATTTTTCCACATTCATCTTTTTTATTTTTTTATTTTTAATAAAAAATAAAAAATAAAAAATAGTTTATTTTTTTTTTTATTTTAAATTATAATTGGTTTAATATAATTTCTTTACATCTTACAACACTTCTACATTAAAGTTGTTGCAGACTATCTTATGTTTTATAACACTTTAAAAACAACTCTACCCGAACAATTATTCTTATAAAAGCTCTAGCCAAACCAAACATTCGTTATTCTTCAATTAGCTCATACAAATGGTGTGGAACATTATACTACACTATTAAGGAGCAAATAAATACATAGCTTGGATTCTTTTTTATGATGCATTCAAGGTTTTCATGTTTTCTTCTTTGAGCCCAAGCAGTTTTAATAAGTAAATTGAAGAATATTTATTGCTAATGAGTTTTAGTGCCCTGGGTGAGTTATTGAGCAGGATTTTGATGAATTCAAACGTGGAAAGAACAACATAATAATTCTAGCAACCGAGATGTTCAATATATCTATACTCACAATATTTAAAGAATATATATCCCAATAGATATATGTCAATGGGGGTGCTAGAGCCAAAATATATTATGTCAGTACGATGAATAATTTGAACACTAGCTCCATTTGGCAGGTAGTTTTACATTTTATATTTTGCCTTATTTTACAAAAAAAAAAAAAAAAAGAATAGAAAGAAAAGCACAAAAATCAAAGACATGAGCAAAAAGTAAAAGCATATACCAAAATAATCAAGCATAACCTTATTTCTTCAATATTCAAAATGGTATCTAGCTGTTTATTTCAAATAATAATAATAATAATAATAATAACAATAATAATAATAACTAGATAACTAGATAGTTCATCGGCTTCCTAGATTATGAATGATTCCCTACATTAACTGTAACCATTCTCACGTGTGAGTCGATTAACTCTATAAATGTTCCAAATTTCAAGAAGAAATTGTGACTAATTTTAATTGTAGATATAGGTTTTGTATTTGCACCATTGCAAGAAGCTTTTCTTTATAGAAAAACTTTGCTCACAGCATTAGAGTATGGAAGATATCATCTATATCCTTGAAAAGACAAAATCTCTTAAAATCTCTTGGAAAAAGAGAGAGAGAGAGTTATAAATTTGACAATCACCTAAGTCATGTTATATGGTAAAACCCACTTCATCAACAGCCACATGTTAAGGCAGCATGAAACTATAATTTGTAACTGGATAATTTGTTTGACAAGTAAAAGATGGTAAGCAAGCTAGGTGTGGAAGATGGGAATACAGAATACATGGGGCGAAGAGAAACAAGTTACTATTAGATTTCACTGTAATTGAGAACTTCAATTGGGTAAAATTTGATTTCACTTTGTTTTGCTATGCCTGTTTTCAAGTTAATTAGGCTTGATTATTTAGCCCCCAAGTGAAGGCTCACCCAAGACTAACAGTTGGGGTTTTGCAAGGCAAGGAGCCACCTGTTTGTTTAGAGTATACATTCATTCCTTTCCTACCTTCTTCACAACAAGCTGCCCAACGCAAGTGCTATGCAGTCTGTTTTTTTTTTAGAGCATAAATATTTTGTTAGCCAATCAAATCAAATTAATAGATAGTAAGTATAAATAGAAATTAATTTTATTAGCATTTTCTATTGAAAAGAATTTAATTTGTTTGTATTATTAGCCTAGTATAGCCTAGTGAATTGAACATGCACAGTTGAGATCAAACACTCTTATTGACTCAAACAATATTGTATCTGACCTGACCCTCAACTACTCTAAAAAACTACCGGTCTTTCTAGATTGGTAGCTGATTGATTTGTGGTACCTAAATTTTTCTATCTGTACATTTTTCCACTCAAAACAGAAACACTTTCGAATATTCAATTCAAGAACCAAACCATTAAAGCCTTAGTATATTCAACCCTTGTTGTCTTGTCTCTAAGCTATTAGCAAGCATTTAAGAAAAATATATATTAATTTTTTAAAATTATATTTTTGGAAAATAGAATATAATAGTACAATAATTATATCTCATCCTAATTAATCTATGATCTTTGCTTGAGATTTTGTAAACTGCAGACTTGTGCATCAAATTTTAGCTTTCCTTGATATTCCATGTAAAATCTATTTAATTTGATATTCAACTTTATTTTACATATCTGTATCTAAATTATCCATATCCCCATCCTTTTACCATATTTCTAACTTGTGACAACCTACGCTATATATATATATATATATTCAGATTTCTTGGATAAAACTTTTCGTGCACTATATTTTGTTTAAAAAAAAAAAAAAAAACTATTTAAGAGCGCATTAATTAGTCAATGACACAGGATTCCTTATATGCTATACGGAAATTTCTTTACAAATGCATTTTTAATTACTTATAATTATCCTACACACGGATGCTGAGAGATTTTAAACTTTAGAAGTCCGTTTAAGAAAATAATAATACAATAACTAAATATTTAAGAAAATAATAGTAGATAACTAAATACACATGTGATAATATTTTAAGTCCGTTTTTTAAGTTTAAAATTTTAACAAATAAAATAAAAATCTTTAAATAAAAACATCCATTTATATCTTCATAAGTTTGAAGGTGGAGTTGTAAATGGAGTTTTTAACCTCGAGTCTAGTTAGTAATATTAATATATTCTTGTACCAAAGAAATTATGTTGTCATGATAATTACATAATATTGGAATAGAATATATTTATTTTCAGATTATCTTCTCCCACTTTTTCTATACATAATAAGTATATAAAGAAAAAGACTTTTACAAGTATTTTGTTTTCTGTACATGCAAAATTGTTATCATTCAAACCTACCCTTCTAGACCAACTCTCTCATCACTAATGCCAAGCTCTAAATTCAGCTTCTTTATTGGGTTTAGCACAAGGTGCGATCTCTATCAACGACTCAATCTTAAACGTAGCACAATTGAGAAACTAGAAAGGATATGATCAGACAATATGTGTCTTTTTAGTTAATTAAATTCTTATGAATTATAGAAACAAACGCTACCAAGTTTCATTGTTTGCAATAGTTTGAAGTTTTTTCGTTCTTTGCACCAACATAACTACAAAAAAAAAAAAAAAAAAAAAAAACAAGACCAAAATTTAATTTGACTTTCTCCAACAATTTAGTAACTACAATGTTATAACATATCGTAACAATATGTATATGCGAAATAAAGAAGAAAAAAACATAGGATTATTAAAGAATGAAAGCAAAGAATAACATTAAAGCAAAAAGGAAGAAAAACAAACTAATGGAGTGTAATAAAAGAAAAATTAATTAGCTGGCGACTAACCTGAAAATTTTGTGTAATTAATGGAAGAGTCGTCCAAGCCGCTTCTTGCTTTTCTGAGCAGAATGCACTGGCATATTGGTGAAGAATGACAAAAAAAATGGAGTCATGAAAATCTTACTAATGTAAACTTAAAATAAAGCAGAAACGAGTGTAAGAACGGAAGAAGAGATTCTAGAGTTTCTCTTGCATAAAAAAATAAAAGAAAAAAAAACAGAGTTGTATTTATATTATGTGAATATGAAAAAAAAAGAAAAAAAAGCTTTAAGGGTGCAAATGCAAAAGGACAGGTGTAGGTTTCATGTCGGATGATGCAACTATTTTTGTAGCCAATGAGAAAGTAAAATGTGCCTTAAAAGTTGAAGGGAGCATGTGGGACTCCGATTGAATGGTAGATTTTGAGATTACCGGCTGAGCAGGTTATAGGGGCAGTCACCGTGGACCAACCAAACGTTCTAACCAGTAAACCAAAAGGGTCAGAAAATGTTAGACAGACCAACCTTTCTTTTGCGCGTTCCGAGACTAATTACATTCTATTTTATTTTTCTTCAAACTCCACTACTGCTCATCGGAGTTCAAACGCAAATCAAATCTATCATTTGGGCCCAAACCACTTTTTCGTGGCAGGGCTGATAGTGTGTTGGAATTGACTTGTTTATGAGTCGGGTTTGATTCCAGTCGAGTCTTCATAGATTTTTTTAAAATTTTCTTTATTAATAAGAGATATTACATAGCATCATTCCAAACCTTAGAGAATTTTGGAAGGCTTGGAATCTTATATAATCTATAAACTGTTGGGGAATACCACAATTCTGATACCATTTGTTGAGTTAAAAGCCTCCAATCCAATCACACCAGCGGAAGTGAAATCAAATAATAAATCAAACACACAAG